TCCAATGAGGTGTACCAGAGCTTAGGTCAGCCGCGGTTCCTGTTCTGTCCGACGGAATACTGCACTTCTCGTGCCGTCCCTAACGTCCAGAACTCTGAATACTTGAATACAATCGGCCGGACATTAATGAGTGGAATCGATATCATGTGGACCGGAAGTAAAGTGATTACGCATACGATTACTGTTGAGTCCATACAAGAGCTGTCAGAAGTGCTGCGCCGACCACCAGTCATATGGGATAATCTTCACGCCAATGATTACGACCAGAAGCGCATATTCCTCGGCCCCTATAGCGGCAGATCCACTGATCTCATCCCACACTTGCGAGGAGTGCTCACAAACCCTAACTGTGAATATGAGCCCAACTTTATAGCGATCCACACTTTGGCCCAATGGACCAAATGTAAGACTGACGCCAAGTGTCAGCTCAGTTCAGTCAGCGCTGACATCAAACTCGAGGCCGAGAGTGAGAACGGATCCATCGAAGACATACCCTTGCATTTGAGTCCAACTGCTTATCACCCAAAGAAAGCCCTCAGGATTTCAATCATTGACTGGATGTCTGAGTTTAACAAATCCAAGACAGCTTATGGTGGATCCAACTCTTTCCTTCACCTCCCACTCGCACCCACTGTCCCCACAGTCATCCCTATTCCTGAAGTGGCCAATGGTCTCAATGAACCCAAAGTTGTGGACATGAATTCAATTGCTTCCACTTCTTTGACTACTTCTGAAGACATAGCGATTGAAAAGAATAGTGAGACAACCGGTGCTAATGAGTCGGTGGCAGTGGAGGAAAGTGCGATACTTATCACTAAAGATGTGAACCAAATACTCGAACCAATGGATTGTAATCCGAGTCCCAATTTATCACCAAAACATGTATTTGACGCTCAAATGGATGACTCGAATCTATTGAAAAGTGAAACGTTTGAGTCGTCCACAGATTTGATCCATAAGAACGGCGCTAATAGTGTCGACTCACAGGAAGAGATGCAAACCGAGAGCTCTTCGGAAATTGATGACGAAAGCCGTTGCCATCAGTTGACTGTTGAAGACATAGCACTTTTGGTTGACTTATTTTACTTGCCTTTCGAACACGGAGGACAGGGACTACAGTTCCTCAATGAATTCCATTGGCTTAAAGCAAATGGATTTCTCGTTTCTGAATATCGACGCAAAAGGACTACAGATCCTGAGGGACCAGAAGTGTCTGAATGGTACACAAGAGCCACGAAATTCGATGAAATGACTGCATCTGTTGGACGACTGCTAACACGTCTAACGTTCTGCAAAAACCGTTCTCTTCTCTATGACTTATATCCATACGTTTGGGACATCAAAGGAGTCATCTCTCTCTTGAACTCATACGTCAAATGGCTCGGTATGTCATGTCTTATCGCCTTTGAACTCAAGTGAACTGATCTTCAGTTGAATGCAAATCTCTTTCTTTCTGACTCCACTCACTCTGTCCTATATTTAATTATATACTGCTTTTGTTTTTTATCAATATTGTCAACAAATTGTGTGAAACATATGCTTAGAATTGTGTTGAATACTTAATATCATAGAATGCATTCAATTTGTAGCAATTATAGTCATTAATAGATTGATCCAAACATATGAATGTACCGTATAATCAGTCCACTTCTTAGCACCCATAGTGTTGTATTGAAATAACGGCTCATCTTTTTGCTTCTTTACTATAGCATTGGGAAGAGTGCCGACAAGTGCTTTGATTCAACCAATTGGGTTCATCCCTCCAGCCTTTACATGTATGACACCAACTAATAGCTCTTTTTTTCCTAAAACTAAGATATTAGTCTTAGACTCTATGATACCGAATATGACCATTCATTCCATCTCTTAATTTCTATAATTCTTGTCCAGTCTTTCAAATTACTGCCAGTTTTTGCTTTTTTATGTTTAAATCATTGATTAGATTCACACAAACTTATTGTATTTGACTTTCACTGTTGTGTGTCCACAAGACAGAGACAAGATGTCTAGATGTATATTATGATAAATTTAATTGGTTTTGTGACTATTATAATCTAATATATAGAGTGCGGGAAGACTGCAAATGAATTGACATTATATTCATATTTTAATCATATAAATTTTAAATTGATTAAAACAATAATTTCTAAAATGTTTGTTAGACAGAATTGACATGAATTGCCATTTTATTGAATAGGGTTTTCCAAAGGCTATAGGGATGCCTTTCAAAGCGGGGAACAGGAACCGTGGGTTTTTAGAGGTGGTCTCACCGGAGAATTACAGGTTTGCACTATTTCTCTACAGTAGTTATTACACAATACTTTGTATATTTACTTGAATGCAAATATAGTCTGATATTTATGTAATATATCACTGAATTTACAGAGACTACTACCGGTTGAAACGGTTAGTGATTTGTTTTTATACAAAGCGCCGGAATCTCCTTCGAGTCAGATCTACACAATCCGACCATATCTTCAATCGGATGAGACATCTGTTTACGACGTCTGTCGCAAAACATTTGCTTTGGAGAGAGAGAACATGACTCTGGAAGATATGACAGACTTTGTGGGCGATAAGTCAGTTGTCAGACACTAACTCACCACACATTACGATAATTTTGAAATTT